AGAAACGTGATAGAATGAAATCATAAAGAGAATGAGATAGACAGCTAGAGAGATATGGGAGCATTCTAAAATAGAAATGAATAAACCTTGATAGATAGATAGATAGATAGATAGATAGATAAAGAAGACACTGAGATAGATAGATAGATAGATAGATAGATAGATAGATAGATAGATAGATAGATAGATAGATAGATAGATAGATATTGAGTGACTGATACATTTTCTAGGGCTGAGCAAGCATTTGCATGTTATTTAAAGCTTTAAACTATTTTTAGAATAAGAATTTCTGCGGGTATAATAATGATTTAGTGATACAAGTATTACCCCAACTAATTATCCTATAGCTTGGGGAAAACATAACTGCAATTGGAACTCGGCTCTTCGATTAACAATTATGAGCTGTTATTCATTACACCATTCGCATATCCAAGATTACAGCACCTGGTATTCCAGAAAATGAATAAATTGGCATAGCTACCTAGCTAGATAGATATATAGATAGATACGAAAGGTAAGATAGATAGATAGATAGATAGATAGATAGATAGATAGATAGATAGATAGATATAAAAATATTGGTATTGATAAATAGATATGAAAAAGAATAAATAGAACTAGTTATATAGGTATGAATATAGATAGTTATTAAATGACTTACGTACCATATATATATATATATATATATATATATATATATATATATATATATATATATATATATATGTACGTGTATATATATATAGAGAAGAGAGGGGGAAAGAGATAGAGAAAGAGATAGATATGAAAGAATTTTAATTAATATATATGAAAATAATAAATAAAATAGTTATATAGGTATGAACATAGATATTAAAATGATTTATATAACATGTGTGTGTGAGTGTATATGTATCTATTTGTATATATATATATATATATATATATATATATATATATATAGAGAGAGAGAGAGAGAGAGAGATAGATAGATAGATAGATAGATAGATAGATAGATAGATAGATAGATAGATATTCCTGTATTCGCAATAGACGGACCTGGCTGGCTATTTGAATTTGGATATTTTCTTTTTACAAATACGCAGTTTTTCTTGACCCCCATCTACTTTACTTTGCACGTTACCCACTTTCCATTTATCCCAACCTGTTCTCTCTCTTTCTCTCTCTCTTTCTCTCTCTCTCTCTCTCTCTTCTTATTTTGTTCTGAATAGAAATTAATTTTGAATGAATTTTCCGACCGACCCTTGTATTCCAACTTCCCTTCCGTTCCTGACTAAAGAATAGTTAGATAAATAAATATATTGATATGAGAAGAAAGACGTGGATAACTTGTGGTTGATTCATTTTCTCCTGTTTATCAACCCATTTCGCAAGAAAATATTTTAGATTCTAAGAATTTTTTTAAGGGGACGTAATAATGTTTTAGCATTACAATTTTACTAATTAACCCATAGCTGAGGGAGACGGGGGTAGATTAATCCCTTTCCCAAGTGTATTTGCACATAAATGAATATAACCAATTAACAATTCCCATTATCCACCACCCGCACATCGTAACTTACAGCACCTAGTGTTACTATATGGTTACCTATCTAGGTACTGACTAAGGTCTACGTTGCTTAACTTCGGTGATCGTTATTTCAACGTGATATGGCCGTAAATAAATACATTTGAGAGAGTTAACGCCAAACAGCGAATGTGATTCTGAAATGGGCTTTTTTTTTTAAGATAATGATATATACATTTGTGATTTTTTTCCCCTTTTCTTAAACAATCTTTTCATTTTATTCCGAATTTTCTTTTATTAATATTATCACATTGAAGAAAAAATAATCGTACTTCAGAGCCCAGGTCCGCAAAATCTTTGAGGCCCCAGTCTTCACAGCCCGCCTCTTTTTCCAGGTGCTAATGTTACCAGTTCACCGAACGCCCAATTCGGCTTTTCCCGGCAAAACGCGGAAGATTGTTGGAAACATCAAAAGTAAGATGTCGTGTGAACTTGGATTCTTCTCATGGAGAAGCTGTTACCAGAGAACATTTTTTTCAACACTACAGACTAGATTTCGTAGGTAGATTAATCCTTATGCAAATTGGCCCATCGTGTCTTTGCACAGGTGTGTCACGGATTTGACTTTCTTTTTAATTACATCTGCTTAAAGAGACTAAAGTAGACTGATCGTTTATAGATTTACGACAGAAAAAAAAACTCAATAAACAAATAATTCAGATCGTAATGGATTCGAATATTTTTTTTTAAAAAAAATCAAAGGAAAAATAATAAAAAAAAAAACGTTTTAGCTGTTTAAACAGAAATAGACTATACTTTGGTAGATTTAAGGTATCAAAAGTTACTTTTTTTCATAAAGAAAAAAAATCACTTCTTTTTTAAGGCCCCTGATTTATCTTTACCTAAACAAATAGACTGACAGTAGGGAAGATTGGGTATAATATGCTCGAGAGCAATATCAAAAAATTCAGTTTGTCTGATTGATATCTGCATTGATTCGCAGTTCAAATATCTAACTGTATTCTTCCGTTTTCGTTTGAATTTATCACCTGATTTTGGCATTTAAGTCACATAGAGAAATTGATACAAGAATACTTTTGCAGTTTGCTTAGAATCGAGCTCATTTCCAGCAGTTTGTGAAACAAACACACGAACCACTGCACAATCGTTTTTTCCCCACCATATTAAAAAAAAAGAGAAGCAAAAGACAGCTTTGAACGCGGTTTGTTAGTAGGGCAAGGATTGTGCCTCATCCCGAAACAACGTCTGCATCTTGACAGTGGGCTTATGGCTCTATCACATTGAAACACCTGTTTCCATGCGATCACGAAGCTTAAGCAACGCCGATTCTGGTCAGTGCCTAGATGGGTGACCATTTGGTAATACGAAGTGATGTAATCTTGGATGTGCAGGTGATGTAACTGATAGAGAGCCGAGTTCAAATTCCAGTCGGGTTTGTTATTATTCATTTACTTACAAAAATCCTTGACAAAGGCATGAATCCACCTTTTCCTTTTCTCTAGATATGGGTTAATTAGTTGTATCAATAAGTCCTTATTATCACCAAAAAAAAATAAATTCTTACAATCTAAAAATATTTTCTGGCTTTAAATAACCTGCAAAAGTGTTGATAACCTGTAAAAACCAAACCAATATATCTTGCGTCGCTTTTTCGATGCATAACTCATATTATTGCAACACGGGGATACAGATGCGTTGATTAAAGATTATCTTGTTCCCCGTTGTTTTTTTTTGTTTTTGTTTTTTTTAATGTTTCTCCGATACAAAGCTAGAGAGCCACTACAGGCAGAGGGTTACAATTCCCAATATACAGCACCTGTCTGTTTGAGCTGAAAAATCAGAATCGAAATGAATTTTATCTTTTAAAACCGACTGTTGCTGACAAAAAACAGCAAATTCTCAACTATCTTTGCCACTATTATACCTCAGCTTTTTAACTATGGAATGAACATGAAATACACTATCACAAATGAACCATTTAATCATTGACTGGTCTCAAAACACTGAAACGACATTCGAATTCCCTATCGACACCGATTACATCTACATTAGTGCATTTGTAAAATCTACGATTTTCCACTGTAAAATGATCCTAGAAATTTACCATAGAAGGCTGTGAATTCATTTTACACTGAATTCGGTTAAGTTTCGATTAATATCTAAAAACTCTAGAGCAATTTTTAACTAATCTCAGAAATTTATTCACGCAGTCAATTCGATTTTCTTTAACTGCCATATTTTTTAGCCTTGTGCCAAACGATTCTAAGTATCGTAAATACGTAGCCAGGACTATAGTTTGCAAGTTGATTTCAACGTGTGTGTGATGTCAGTAAATATATAGATTTAAGCTTAATGCCGCATCTTTATTATTATTATTATTATTATTATTATTATTATTATTTAAAATAATTTTCGAGCACTTTCTTTTTTTCTCTGTGCAGGGTTCAAATACTTGTAAAATCAGTAATGTTATTTCAATTGAAGCTATACTTTCACAACAAATGAACTTTTTGTTTTTATAAAACTTGTAAAAGCCATCTTGTGTTCGGTAATATATGATTTAAATTTTAGCGTAATTCAACCCACGAAAATATGTGGGTAGACTGAAAAAGAAAAGAAGAAAAACATTAATTTTTGATCTCAGAATGTTGTAGATTAAAACAAATAAAATGTATTTTTTTTTTCTTCTAAATTAATTTTTGACTGTTCTTCTTGTAAACCGTTGAGTGATAGTACCTGCTTTGTAAAGAAGTCAGTTTTAATTATGAATTTTAGTTTTATTTAATCATTATTTTTTTATTTAATATCGATGCATGAAGCTTTGGAGATTGAATTTAAAAAATTGATACAATTTTGACACTATTATTTAATCTTCATTATTGAATGTTAAGTTACCCTCCCACCAGCCACTTTCATCGATTCCTTTTTTTTTTTTTTCTTTTTCCTTTTTTAGTACTCTGGTCTTTTTTTATATTTGCTGGTGCGAGCGAATATTTCTTGTTGATGCGCTACAGGTTCAATTTACAGCCAGCAACCGTTTCTAATTAAAACAAATCATGTCTTCTCTAATTCTTTAAGAACTAAATTTCACGTATTCAGAACTTGTATATAATTAAGAATACTCCAAGGATAGAGATTGAACATTGAATTTTAATTTAAATCATTAATAATCATGGTACCCATGAACGAGTACGCTTAAAGAAGAAGCATTTTTTTTTTTTTTTACTTTGAATTTAATTCCATATTTTTCTTCTTCGACGTTTTACTTTTATATTTCTACTTCGTCTTCATTTCAATTTTCATTCCTCCTCTTGCTTGTTTCACTTCTGTTTTATTTTTCCTTTTCTTCATTTTCTTTTTCCTCCTTCGTCTTTTTGTACCTTTCTTCATTCCTTCCTTCCCTATTTTGTTTATAATTCTTGGCATTTCCCTCCTCCTCCTCCTCCTCCTCCTCCTCCTTCTTCTTCTTCTTCTTCTTCTTCTTCTTCTTCTTCTCTCTTTCTTTCTTTCCTTCTTTCTTTCTTTCTTTCTTGCCCTACCGTTTCTTCTTCGGCTACATCTTTTAAATTTCTTCATTCTCCACAACTTGTTTGCGTTCTCTTACATTTACTCATTTTTTTTTCCTTTCACCTTTTCCATTCTTTTCTCCTCCTCTATTTCATTTCTCTCACTCTTTTTCTTTTATGCCTTCTTCCTTCAGTATTTCTCTCTCTTTTTTTGTTTATCTGTTTTGTTTTGTTTTCTTTTCAGTGCCTCTCTCCTATTTCTTCTTCTCTTGTCTCTCTTTTTCTTCTGCTTTCTTTGTCTCCTGTTTACCTCCATTTCTTTGGTCTTTCTGTTTTCTACACTTTCGTATACTGCTCTATCTCTCTTCCTCCCCAATCTTCATCTTCTTCCTTAATCAATGACGGATCTGCGAAAACCTCACAGACGCGAAGAGGCAGAATTCTTACAAGAAACCTCTTTCTCTATTTCTCTTCTTCCTCTTCTTTCAATTTATTTTAAACAATACTCTTATTCGCTCTCTTTTTGTCTCCTCACTTCCTAAACATCTTTTTCTTCTTCTTTTTCTTCTGCCGCTTTTCTTTCTCATTATTCTATTATTATTGTTATTGTTATTATTATTGGACTCGCTTACAAAGCCCATCAGGTGCTAAATGCTGTTATCGTGAAAATTAGCGACTTACACAAGGAACACAGTAGGTCGAAATTTAATCAGAGGGAGAAGAATAACCAGGCCAAAATCAACTTTTCTCTACCGAACTCACGTGAAAGCCTGTCGCCATCTCTCTTGTTCTACCTACCTACCTACCTACCTACCTACCTACCTACCTACCTAGCTCGCGTACTGAACCACCACCACAACGCTCTTTCAATTTTTCACTTAAATCTATTCGTACACTTCTTTCCCTTCTAGCCTCACGCTTTCTTTTTCTTTCTTTCTTTCTTTCTTTCTTTCTTTCTTTCTTTCTTTCTTTCTTTCTTTCTTTCTGTCTCCTAAATTATCACCTGTCTTTCTTTCTTTCTTTTTTCTTTCTTTCTCCTAAATTATCACCTTTCTTTTCTTTTCTTTCTTTCTTTTTTTTTCTTTCTTTCTTTTCTTTCTTTCTTTCTTTCTTTCTTTTCTTTCTTTTCTTCTTTTGTTTTTCTCCCTTTATTTATTCCTTTCTTCTTCCTTTTTCTTTCTTCCTCCCTTTTCTTTATTCCTTTCTTCCTACCTTCCATCATTCCTTTCTTTCTTCGTTCCTTCCACTCTTTCTTTCTTTCTTTCTTCATTTCCTTCTTTTCTTCATTTCTTTCTTTCTTCCTTCCTTCCTTCATTTCTTTCTTTCATTTAGCCTTTCTTGCTTTCTTTCTTACTTTCATTTCCTTCTTTTCTTTTCTTTCTTACTTTCATTTCCTTCTTTGCTTTTCTTTCTTTCTTTCTTTCTTTCTTTCTTTCTTTCTTTCTTTCTTTTCTTTCATTTCCTTCTTTCTTTCTTCTTATATCTTGTTTTAGCAATGAGCCTCGCCGGCGTCGTTTTCTCCTCAGAGCCTTTCTGACTTATTAACAGTTTTGCGCGATAAATTTGGACATGGTTGCACCTGTCCTCACAGGTAGCTACTTTTTTTTTTATCACCAGCGTCTACGCAGCTACAGATCTTGATGGAGATCTATCTATCTATCTATCTATCTATCTATCTATCTATCTATCTATCTATCTATCTATCTATCTATCTATCTACTCTCATTTTTTCACATCTATCTATCGAGCAAGCTATCTAGCTATCTATGTCGGTTTGTTCATATCTATCTATCTATCTATCTATCTATCTATCTATCTATCTATCTATCTATTTTATTCTGTTAATGCTTGTCTGTGTTAGTCTATTTTTTATCTATCTATCTATCTATCTATCTATCTATCTATTTTATTCTGTTAATGCTTGTCTCTGTGTTAGTCTGTTAGTCTGTTCTTTATCTATCTATCTATCTATCTATCTATCTATCTATCTATCTATCTATGGAAATATTGGGATAAATAGATAGATTTTTGCATCATACAAAATGAAGAATAGTCTGAAACTCCGTACTTTCAGTTTAACCCGCCTACTGCTAATACGGCTGCTAATGCAGAACTGACGATAACAAACGTTAAGAATGCATCAACAACATTAAAACGCTATTTGTTGTGCGTCACTATTGTAGCTACATTTACTCCTAATAATGATTATAAATTCTTAAATTTTGGTACACTATTTTCTCATACTTCATTTGTCATGACAACTTCTCTTGGCGCTTCTAATTGCAAGACTGCTACACCGAAGAGTTCAAGATGAAAAATGACCACCGCGATTGCTATAGCAACTAATAATGTTGCTGTTGATAGTTAAAATCAATCCCCCTCGCTGCTTTGATGGCGAAACAAAACGATTCCATCGATGATGACAGCGATTTCTCAAATGCAGTTGCATTAATGATGTACATATTG